CGAAGGAAGAAAATCCCAGCAGCCTGCTGGGCCCTCCCACACTCCATCCTAGGCTCCATGGTGGCCATCAGATGTCCCCTACAGCTGGCCCAGGGTCAACTGTGGTCCAAAACTACCAAAAGGAACATTCCAGAAATGAACAATTCGTGACTTTTAAATAACTTTTATTGCGGAATATTGTTATAATTGTTCTATTTTATTTTTTAGTGATTGCTACTAATCTCTTACAGGACCTTAAATCAGGTATAGATACATATCTTGATTTCATAAATTCAGGCTTATCAAGGTATGTGTGTTTAGGAAGAAAGCTAGGATATGTGGGTTTGGTACCGTGTGCAGATCCAGCACCCACTGGGATCTGGGATTGCATCCCACATGGAGGAGCCGGGGCTGCTAGGTCTTCTCCACTCAGTCTTCCTCATCCCCAGTGTGTCCCCTGTTTCCCCTATGTCCCTTGTACCCAGATGGTCTCTTCCCTCTTGCTATGGGCTGAATTACAAAGTCCTGAACCACCCCCGCCAATGCCTTGGAACTTGACTGGTTCATAGACAGGGTCTTCTAAAGAGAGGATGAGGTTAAAATGAGGTCATTAGGGTGGCCCTCATCCCACACGACTGGAGTGCTTTTGAGAAGAGGACATTTGGACAATGACAAGGACATGGACAGTGGGAAGGCCATGTGAAGACATGGCAAGAAGGTGTCATCAACGAACTGAGGAGAGATGCTCAGGAAAGACCAGCTCGGCCAGCACTTTGATCTTGGACTTCCAGCTTCCAGAATTTTGAGAAATGAGTTTTTGTTGTTTAAGCCTCTTGTTCTGAGGTTCATGGTGACAGAAGCCCCAGAAAATGAACATGTCCTCTCTCTGCCCTCCCAACCCCGCAGCACCTTCCCCTTCACCTCCACTCTGCTGCCCCACACCGACCACCACAGGCGGATAGAGCCCTGTGTCACCAGGAGGACTTGGTCACCAGCCAAGGGAGCCCCTGGCTTTCAGAGGAGCCTTAAGGAACTCACTTCTGTTCTGTGGGATTCACTTCCTTCAAAAATACAGAAGGCGTGACCCGGCTTGTGTGAGCATGAAGTAATTCAAAGGGGACCACAATTTGCTAATGGATAGAAGATCCACAGTGGAAAGCTATTATGTCTGTGGCTGGGGGAAAGTCACCAAGTACATTAAACAAATGAACAACATGTGGAAATGTATGTTCTTGAGAAATGACAGCAGTGTTTCAAGAATTGGAACAAATAATCAAGACTAAACATTTTGGATCTAGTTCCAATTTGTCACTCCAGGCTCAAGCCTCCTAATGTCCCATCTATGCAAGGCCAGCAGGACCCCTGAGATTTGATGTGAGGAGCCCCAGTAGCATGTCATGGAAGGGAGCAGATGGAATGAACCTGGTCCTCCACATCTTCTCTGGGCCTGACACCATCATATAAATCCCCTCTACCAACAGGGAGAGCAGACATTAGGCCGTTTTACAGATAAGAAAAGAAAGCTAGATCTGATCCAGGGTACTGCCCGAGGTTGAATGGCCGCAACTAGAAGAGTCTGGATTTAAACTCGCATGAGTCTGGTTCAAAATCCACACTCTTCCCCTGCAGTGGGGTGTCAGGTGCCATCGGGCTCTCAAGGTGCTATGGCAGTGGAGGTTTTCAGCTGGAGCTGGAGTGGGGTGCTGCTCAGAGGCTCCTTGCAATGTCTGCAGACACCGTCTTATCTTATGACTTGGGGTTTGCACACTAAGAGCATCCAGCGGCAGACACCAGTTATGCTGCTAGCCTTCCTACAGTGCACAGGGCAACGGCCACAGCCCAGATCCCCTGGACTAGGGAGACAGAAAGAATGACCTTCCTGAGCCCCTACTGTGAGTGGGGCATATAGAGTAGATGCTCTCAGGCACAGCGAGTCACAGAACACCACTGCCTAGAAGGGAATTATGACAGTCCCAGTGTTAAAAGTGAGGGGACACTCAGGGACATTCAGTAGGTCGCTCAAGGTGGAGAGCCAGGTTTCACACCCAGCCTGTGGAGGCCATGCTCCCCCTGCCCACCCAGCCTCCCGAGGCCCCGCTTGGAGTTCCTGGCTGGGGAGAGCTGCCCAGAGGACAGAGCTCTGAGGAGGAAGAAGAACATGTCAAACTGAGCTGTTAGGGCATCTTCACGGGGGCCACCAAAGGGCCACGTTGCCGGTGAAGCTGCAAGAACCATCTCCAATTTTGCTGGTCAGCAGGCGTTGACTCCTCCTGTCCTCACCCCAATTCTACAGTGAAAGGTCTTTAACTCAGCTGTGCACTTGACAATGGAGAGAGATTCCCCAAAGCTGCTGTGGAGGTCTGCACATGACCTCAGGACTTCTTGGAACCGTGAGTGACCGTGTGTAATAAAAGGGCCTGTGATTCTCATGCATTGCCTCATTTCCTACAAAATACCACACATGGAATGTTCTTGAAGTGAGTGCACAGGAATAAAAACACAGGGCGACCTTAACTAAATCTCTCCCTCTTCTTTCAACCCAGGTTTGCCCGTTGGTAACGTGAGAGGGATGGATGAAATGAGCTGTCGAGTCCTCCCCTCGGGGGCATTTCCCGAGTCTTCCATTCCATAAGTTCCACAAGATATCACTGAAAAGAAAGATCTGAGCCTGAGACTTCAGGGAATTCTAAGTTTCTTGTTTCCAATCCAAAAATAAACAGCTGTCGGAGTTCAAAGAGAGGCGCCTTCCCCTGGGAGAGGCCCCTGGACAAAGAAGCGGGTCCGTGGATGTTCTCCATGAGCTGACTGCGAAGGCGTCAAAGCTATCTGGGTTGACTGTGCCTTATCCACACACCTTGACCAGGGGCCTCATGTGCCTGAGGCCCCAAAACATTCAGCCCCTTGGCGGTACCCTCAGCTACCATTCTCCACACCCCCAGCAGAGTGACCGCCATGCTGGGGCCAACGTGAAACCCAATCCCTGTGTGCTCTGGAATGACCCAAGTGCCTGCAAGAACCGCTGGGCATGACTGGGAGTCAGATTTGTCCAGGGAAGTCCTGGCTTACCCGCAGTGTCCCAGCATAATCACTAAGAGTGTGTGCTTGCTCGCTCTCTCCATCTCCCCCTCCACCCTGTTTCCCTCAAGAGTCACAGTTTGAAAGGTAAATTATACGGTTGCCTATACAGAACGGTTTAATGCTACCAAAGACACGACCTGAAAACCAAGACCTGTCAACTGCACAGTTTACCCTTATACAAATGAGACAGAGAGGGAGAGAGAGAGAGAGAGAAAGAGAGAGAAAGCGAGTGCACACACAGATGTCACCAGCACCGGCCCTGTGTCTTTGGCCCACCCCAATCTTTAATTTTTCTAATTTCTTCCGTGACCTCCTTTCCAGGATACCCGTGTAGCCACAGACACAAAACTGTCAGCCTCACGCTATTGGGAACAGAGAAGTACACGGAGGATTGGGGAACACTGGGGAAGCCGCCAGGAGAGGACTGTGCCAGGAACTATCAGGTGAGCTTCCAGAATAAGGTCTTTTTAATTTTGTTTCTTTCTTAACAGGCTCCCCGGCCTGGGAGTCTGAAAGATTCAGTAGATGGATGAACCCATACGCTCGCTAGGCATCTGACCAAGTAGGTCGCGTTCTCCTTAGGGACAAGTTGGAAAATAGCTTGGCTGCAAGGGTCGTCAGTTGACGAACCAGAGAGCCAGCCCGAGGCTCTCCCCAGCGCTGACTCCCCCGGAGTGCTCCTGCTTGGACAAGGAAGCGGGTGGTGGGCGGTCAGACGCCTGGCCAAGCACAGCCCTGAGAAGCGTAGCCTCGAGTGCCGTCTAGTCGGGACGCACAGGGCCGTGAAGGCATCCAGGCCTCACCTGGCGGGGTCCAGGGAAGCAGCACTGCACCTGACTCTGCTCCTCCGTCCAGGCTGAGAGTCGGGCGAAGGTGTGCGGGGTGGGGAGGCTTCTGTCCACAGAGGTTGGAATGGGGGGACTACAGGTGGGCTAAGACAACTGAGTGCCATGTGATCAAGTTCGGAGACACAGAGGAAGGGACGAGAGGGTCCCTCTCCAGGGCGGGCAAGGCAGGTCACACCTGTGTGAGGGTCCTGAAGGGAAGGTTGACACCCAGCTGGATCTCATTCAGGAGCAGGCCCCAGCCCACATTCAGACAAAGACAGATCCCCAGAAAAGACAGGATAGTTTGGGGCGTGCCCCTAACCGCTATGGGGAACCAGGAACACCCAGGGGCCAGTGTGGGTGACATGTACAAAGGGAGAGTTTCAGCTCCACATAAGGAAGGATCCCAACTATGTGAGCCATCCCCAGTTAGAATGGGCTTCCCCAATAGGTGGTGAGCTCCCCATTCCTGGAGGCAAGCAAGAGAAGAAAGGAACTACGATCTGCAAGGGGTCGGAGGCAGGGAGACTCGAACAGCGAAGGGAGAAGCCCAGTAGTTCATTTCGAGGTTGATCCCACTCAGAGCCTGGCACAGTGACTGCTTGGAAGTGTTTATTGAATTGATTCACAGATGATGGAGCCTCCCCAGCAGTGACAGGGTGACTCGCAGGCCAGGCCCACACCTGACTGGCAAGCCCCCTCCGACTCGCTCCGCTGGGAGGGATGTTGTGTTCTCCCTCAGCTCTCATGCTGTTGTGAAGATCAAATTAAAGGAATTTTATGTGGGGAAGATCAGATGAATGGAGATGAATGTGCTTTGAAAGAAAAGCAGGAGGCTCTGTGGAAGGGCCCGGGTTGTTTTTCATTCTCAGCCTGGAATGGAAGTCTCTGGGCGAGCGTATCCTTCTCATCATGGCAGTTCTGAAAGGGACCCCAAAGAATTCCACTCCAGCCTTTTCAAGGAAAAGACATGGAAGTCTTCAAAGGCAGATAAAGTAATTTGTATTTATATGAAGTCAGAAAATTCCCTCTTTTTCCTCCCAAGTTCCCACAATTTAGACTGTTAAAAGAACCATATTACAAAACAAACCACTCAAAATAAAGAGAGGAAATCAATCCCAGTTTAGACCTTGTTTAAAGAAATCATTTTAGATCCCACACAAGAAAAACATACAGAGGCCTGATAAATGTTCTGGAAGCTGGCAGGGCCTGGGAGGAGTGCGGGGCCGTCGGGGGCAGGACATAAACACACGTGCGCCCAGCAGAAACGTGCGACCGTCTCCTGCAGCTCGGGTGGCAACAGGATGGGCCTGGCAGGAGGGCCCTGACTCTGTCCAGGCAGGATGGGCATCCAGGGGTGGTGAGTCTGGCAGGAGGGTGGCAGGGGGCTGAGCAGGCATGAGGGTGAATGGCAGCAGGCCGCACAGATCAGGGCCTCCGTCCAGGTAGACAGGCCTGGCTTGGAAACCTCCAGGGGACTCCAAACCCTGCTGCAGAGACCAAACCTCACTCACAGGAGAAGGGTGGGAAAGTCCAGAGACAGGTTCCACCCGCCATGAGACCTTGTTTCCCACCCCACCCTGTCCCCTCTGATGGAGGCAGCCTTTGCTCTGCATGTGACCTGGGGCCTGTTCCATGTCAGCTTGGCGTCCCCCTCACAGATGAGAATCCCCCCACCAGGAGGCCCACCCCAGCAGGGTGTGTGCAAGAGGCTCTCTGACTCTCTCTTCCCTCTTAAGGTCCCCTCCCTCCCTGGCTCCACCTCCTCTTTTAAATAACAGCACAATATCCTTTAGCCCCCCCCCCCCCCAGCAACGGCCCCCATTGTGTGAACAGCCCCAGGTTTGCCCTGGGCCCAGCACCTAGTCCCGCTGCTGGGAAATATCTCCCCTCCTCACCAGCGCATTCCTAGCCATCTCTGCACTTCGGCTCACCTGGGGTCTCCAAGAGCCATCTTCCCTGCTGGGCTGTGGGTTCCTGGAGGCGGGGAGCAAGTCACAGAGAGGGGTAGGATGGGAGCAAGGGAGCAGAGGGGCTGGGAGGGAGGGACGGCTGGCCATGGGCCTGGGGTATGAGGCAAGATCTGGGGTGGCAGGTGGAACGGAGGTTTCAGGGGCCCACGGATCTGAGTCAGGGGCTCCAGATGCAGCTCTGGAGCAGCTTAAGCTGCAGCCACGGTGGCCCCTCCCACCCCCAAACATTCCCAGGTCCCATCGCTTCAGCACATGAGGTTTCTACCTCTGGGCGCCATGTGCCCCTCTTTGACCTGTCACCTGCTCATCTCGTAAACTCCCTTTGCCCTCCTTTACCCCACGGTGGGCCTCATCGCCCTCCCCTCTGAGCTGCCTCTGGTGGTACCTGGCTCTGGGTGGTCCGAGGCTTTCTGGCCATCGCTCTCACCATAGATGCCCAAGACCTTTTGCAGAGGGTCCTGGTGCCCAGGAGTCTTGTTCAGGAAGCACCGGGCCCAGGAGGACAGGGAGGGGTGGTCCTCCGGCCCCTTGCCCTACTGGGGAGCTCTTCAGGCAGATGGCACCAGGCTTGCATCCCTTGTATCTCTGTTGTCTTGATTTTGTTCCCAAACACACCAAATTTAGCAGCAGCCACACTGTGTTCCCTCTACTCCAGGAATACAAGAGCATGATAATCTGGAACATTCAGCTGGTGACAGAAGGTGTGAAGACAAGCAATTAGATTCCTATTGAAAAGTCCTGATAACTTCTTCATTTCAGAATCAATTGCTCTTGTTTATGCAAATTCCCTCTGTTACTCTAAATTTTTTATTTCTCTAGCTTTCAGCTGAGACGTGTGCAGAAGCAGGAGACTGATAAGCTGCAAAGTACTAGAAAATGCCTGGCATGCAGTCGGCTCACGGAATATTTGGTGAGGAATGGAACGAAAGAGGGAGGAAAGCAGAGACCTCTCTGACTGTATGAACAACCCCTTCCTCCAACACCCTCACATCCTCCTAGATTTGGTCACTCCGGAAGTCCTCTTGCGTGTCTGTCTGCACACCAGCCTGTCAGCTCCCAGATGACAGGAGCAGTGGCTGCGGGCACTGGCTCCCCTGAAGCCCCAGTCTCAGCGTCACAGTGCCTCACAGTGCTGGACTCAGAACTGGCACTCAATCAGCATTTGAATTGCTGACGGATCAACCCATCAGTGACTCCAGAGACTTCAGACGGTGGTTAGGATGAGCGATGTCTGACCTTGAGCCTTGGTCTTGCTATTTACTACCCTCTCTAAGCTCAGTTTCCTGTCCTGTAAAAAGAAGCATTGATCTCTGAAAATCTATCCTTGATGCCTCCCTGGCAGGTCTGACACCACCCAAACTGCTTAGACCATGAGCTCCTCCAGGTCAAGGGCCATGGGATCTTTAGATCCTGTCTCCCTAGCACCCAGTTCAGAGCTGGCATCCAGGGAGACCAGGCATACATCTGTCCAGCCAAATGTTCTGGAGGCCCAGCTGTCTTAACTCACACCTCCTTTGCAGATAAGACACCTCCAGGTCCAATCCTATCTTCAGTGTCGTGGGAACAGGGAACAGCACACATTTATTCAACTGAAAATCTCTGTGCCAGGCCCTGAGGTTGGCACTGGGGAGAGAGATGGAAACCAGTGCTTCCCTACCCTCAGGGAACTCCCAGTCAGGCTAGAAGGCAGACAGTGACAGAATGGAGGACAGTACAGTGCTGCAGATTGAGCATAGAGAAGTGTGGAGCTTCCTATGAGCTACAGGCCTATGGGGTGATCTTAGATCCTAAAGGTTTGCCCTTGGAAATTCCAGAAAAATACTATTTGAACTTGAAAAAACATCTCTTGATTTATTTGGCTCACTAGCAAGAATTCATGGAAGGGTGACACCTTCACCAGTTGGAAGTTCATGCCCTGAAACGTTGACCTTGAGCCTGGGAAGAGCCTGCAGCCATGATGACCCGGCTTGGTTCCCTCCTTATGACGGATCGTTTCTTGCACAGCCCAGGTAGGGAAGAATTCCACGGGGCCCCATGCATGGAGGATGGACCTCTGGTGAACTGTTGACCTGCCCAGGTAATCCCACCCCTGGGGAAAATGGCAGGAAAAGAGCCTCCCAATGCCCAGGATGATTTAAGATCCAGAGGGAATGAAAGCCCCTTCATTCTGGTCCCTCATTCCTTCCTGCCAATCCACACGGAGGAACTGCACCCAACCCTTGTAAGGTTCCTGCCATGAGAAACCAACTCAAGGTAACTTTAACTAAAGATTCTTTATTAGAAGGATAAGTTCAGGAGCTTCACATAAACACAGGAGACTTGGGGATGAGCCAGGGAAACTTCCAGACTCAGGAAGTCAGGACACACAGAAGCTCCTTCCCAGGGAGGCAGTGTGGTCAGGGCTGGCCTAGCCCAGACTTACCCATCAGGATCTGCGACACCCCCATTTTCACCTGCACCCACTCACCCTGGAGCCACAGGATTTGAAGACCTGGGAGACAGCACCTAGTTCAGTGTCCCCATCTGTATTGGAGCAGAACAGGAAAGAGCTGGCTCACAAGCACTCACAGGATTTTACCTGGACTTTCACACATTCAGGGAAAGGCAACTCCCCAGTGGAAACAGGTTGTTGTCAGGAAGGGAGAAGGATGTGGGCAGCAGAAGCCGTTGAATGGCCATCAGATGCTGCTACTTTTAGGAAGCTTGAGGTTTAACCCATTTATAGCTAGCCCAGAATATTCACTCAGTATTTTGTTAAACAAATGAACAATTAAAAGTATCTGTGCAGCTGGGCGTGGTAGCGCACGCCTGTGATCCCAGTGGCTCCGGAGGCTGAGGCAGGAGGATTACGAGTTCAATGCCAACCTCAGCAACTTATCGAGGCACTAAGCAACTCAGTGACACCCTGTCTCTAAATAAAAAATACAAAATAGGACTAGGAATGTGGCTGAGTGGTTGAGAACCCCTGAGTTCAACTCCCAGTATCAAAAAAATGTATCTGTACAACACAGAGAGTGTTTCCCCCTCTTTCAGGTTATTACATTGTAAGATAATTTGTGAAGAGATCCGAGGAAAGAGACCAGCATCAGCACTTCACATCAGTCTATCTGGCAAGAATTAAAAGATATAACAATGTCAAGTGTTGGAGATATGGAGCAAAGAGAACTCACTTATACCGCTGCAAATTCGTGTTAGTTTGGAGAATAATTTGCCATGATCATTAATGTTGAAGATGGATATATTCTATGGACCAGAAGTCTCATACCAGTTATACCAATAGTCAAAGACAAAACTCACAAACTGTACCTCAGGACATTTAAAACATGTTCAAAGCAATTTGGCCCCGAGAGAAGAAATATACATCAATATGAATATGGAAGAACAAATTCTAATGTGGTCATATCACAGAATCTAATGAACACACTGAGGCTCACACATGAGAAGGGAGGAAACTCACACTCAATTTAGAGCCACAGTATTTCCTTGAAGGATCGTTCTGAAAATGGCAACCAGTTGCATAAGACATATAAGCAGAGTTATTTATTTTCCAGTTGTTTAGGAAGAATGTAGAGTACATCTGTCTTTCAAACTTTCCATGAATTCAGAAAAATTTATCTGGCCCTTTCTAGTAAATCAGGAAATGCTCCATTCTAATCACAAAATTAGAGATAAGACAATCAATAAATATGCTCAGATCTTTCAATTATAGGTAAACCCTAAACCAAGGACATAGTAAAGGCAAGACTGGTGAGATGTTTTCTGCTAGAAAATGCCAACACATGTGCCAGGAATCTGTCAGTTATTGTGACCAGACTACCTGAAGCTGTCTGTCCCAACTCCCTTGAGTAGGCAGGAAAGAAGACAGACATTTCAGAATTGTTCTGGAAGTCACCTTCACACCTTTTCAACCTTACTTCCTACCTAAACCCAGCCTATTCTTTAGGGCTCCCTGCTAAAGCCTATCAGTCCTTACAATCCGGCCACACATGTAAGTGATACACGCTGCACACTCTCGTTGTCCTCTAAGTCACTCAGGTGGCTGTACAAGGAGCAAGCACTAGATGCTGCTGAGATAATGATGACATTGTGATAGAGATGAGCTGAGGATAACTTCAGTGTGAGAAGGTCCTTTTGTAAAGTATGTGTAGGACAGGCCAATGGGTGGGTAAATGGAGCATATAGGGTGGGCACTATTGGTATGGATCATGTACATATTATAGAGAAATTCTATAGTAGATGCCTTCAATCAGGATGAACTCTCCTTCCAAAAGCACTGGGGGACGAGTCACATGAAGCTGAATATAGAACATAGATATTCAAAGGGTACATTCTCTTCCCCAGCCCAACCCTACTGCTCCCCCTGGATTTCCTATCTTTGGAGAATGGTTCTACCTTCCTTCCAATAAGCCAGACCAAAACCTAAAAGGTGTCCTGTACTCCTCCTTTCCCCTCACTCCATCACAGTTGATCAGGATCTGGGGCACCTGCAACCTGCCGACCATGTGTTCTTAGTATGATGAACGTTGGTCCCTTTGTTCCCACTGACGTGTGTCACCTATCACCCACAGGATCGCCACACTGCATATAGAGCTTTCTGCCTTAACGCTGTTCTCCCCCAGTGCATCTTCCACATACTTCCAAAAGTCGGGATCCTAAATTATCAACGTGTCTGCAGGAGAAAGGGCAAGCTTTGCCATGATCTGCCCCTCCACTCCACTGCAAATGTCATTTCCCACCAGTTTCTTTCATGTCACATTCTGTATTGAGCTACGGAGAATGTCTAGAATTCTCTGTGCTGCTCTCTACCACTGAGGTTCTGCATTAGCTGATACATGGGACTGCAATGGCTTTCCTCCCTTATGATCCACCTCTAACCTTGTGCTCAGCTTTCAATGGGGGCACTTATTCTTCCTGGTGCCTGCCCGAGTTCATCCCTTTGTGGGTGATGACCTGGACTCCTTGTCATGGTCAATGGTACTGTAGTGCTTATTACTCTGTCTCCACAAGTGAACTGTGTTATCTCTCTAGAGTGCGTCCAGTGTCCAATTTCTCTCTCAATCCCCACCATCTATCACAGAGCACAGGAAACACTTGTGGGAGGCATTTTCTAGAAATTTTAGAAAATAAATTTAATAGTACTTGCTAAGCAGTTAATGGTTTCTTCTGAATTTAGCAAGACTGATCTTGCATAAGGAATAGTCACCATCAGTTCCAACCCAAGAACTCAAAATGGAACAGGTGGAAGGGAACCCAAGGACACATGTTAAAGCCAGGAACAAAGATCCTTATCCAGAATCCTGCAGAAGCTGGATGAAAATATGGGAATATTTTCTCCTAAAAAAACAAAACAAACAAACAAAAACTAATATAGCCATGTACCTACAACTTCTGCTTCTCTGGGAAACCCCGACTAATACACCCAAAGCCCATAGCACCCCCTCCTGCTGGGCCAACCCTTCTGAAGATAGCAAGTGCATGATGCAAGACCACAAAGGAATCCCAACCTTCTCCAGGATGTAAACGCACACATGAGAGGCACAGGTCTTGGCAGGTCTGGGGAGAGACTTTGAGAACTGACAAAAGCTCTCAAACCCCCCAATCTACCGCTGATGAGTGGTGACACATTGGGCCTCAGTGGGACAGGGTGACTTACCTCTCCAAATCCTTCCTCTTCCTCCTCCATTGCCCAGCGCCTCAAGAGGGCTTGCAGCTGGCCCTCCTCAGTGGTCTCTTCATGCTTCTTCACATTTGAGCCCCTTTCTCAGTATCTGGCCACCTCAGTATCTGGCTGTCCCCAGAATCCTTACACATGCCACCTTGCTCGTCCTTCAGAAGCTAGGCCTGCAAAGGCACAGCAGTGGCCTCTCCTGACCCCTAACTTCAGAGTTCTACTTTCCATTGGCCTGCCTCTGTGCACCCCGCTTCCCCTGAGGAGTTTATTTGGCCATCAGTCCCTTAGTCATCGAGTCTTGGGCATGAGTGTGTCCCTGTGGCCCTGTCACCTGGCTTCTAAGGAATCTAGAGTTCAGGAACCTCTAGATTCTATTATTCATGTGACAAAATGATTGTTACCAAACCATTCATCCCATCTCCTCACATGGGTGGTCTGCACACACCCAAGGACTCTGTCCCATCCTTCTGTCTCTCAGGTGATTAACGCAAAGTCACACATGCAGACTGAGACCCCACAAAGACCAGAACCAGGTATCCTGACTCCTCGTCCCGGCTGTGCCACAGTCTCCCTGACCACAGAAGAAGGCCCCATTCCCACAGAAGCTCTCAGAATTAACACACTTTTCTTCACAGAGAGTTAAATGAGGACAATGACGCCTCGCCTGCTTCGCTCCCAGAGGTGCTTTGAGGATCTGCTGTAATAATATGTGTGACAGTTCTTTGAAAAGCAT